TTAATAATTTATAATTAAAATATTAACATCATTATTTTATTTATTCTTTATTTTTAAATATTAAAATATTATGAATTTGTAATTAAAAGTTTACTTTTATTTTAAAATATAAATTAAAACTTGAACATTTTTATTTATATTCATTTTAACTTTTAATTTTATTTTTTTTCTTCTTGCCAGTCGACCACAAGAGATGGGCCAAATCGGCACTCCTAATGAGCATATTTGGACGTGGAGTGTTAGATTTGACAATAAAATCTAATCGAGAAGAACAAGATCTGGCATTTTTAATGATTGATTTGGTTGGGGAGTGTTAGATCGACGTTTCTCGTAATCGAAAAAAAAATTTAAAAAATAAAAATATTTTATATTATGTAAAAGTAATTTTTAAAATTTTAAAAAAATATTTTCATCGTATTAACATTTTAACATTTTTTTTCTATTTCTACTAGCTTAGAATAGTCATTACTCAGAGAATTTGATATTGATTATTCAGAACCGTCCCGAACCAAACATAATCTTGGACCATGACGAAAATCAAATGACTGGGTAAGCCCAAAAAAACATAAAAAATTGGAAGCCCAGACATGGTCATTTAACAGACTCCTACAAACAGTCTAAATGTGAGACGTAAGAAGCAGTAAAGATCAAAGGCTAGTACAGAACAAACCAACCCAAAGCTTCAGTTGAAACAAAAGGCCTAAAGACCAAAGGACAGTACAGAACAAACCCAACCAGCAAATTGAGATATATGAAAGACAGCCCAAAATTCTTCTATTAATTAAGGCCTATATCTTTAGTCCAGGGACAGCCCCTTGTGTCCACCTGCAAACCGAAGTTGCAGTTAGACAGACAGACTCGTAGGCCGAAGCTTCAGTTGAGACAAATCGTTAAGCAATAGTTAAAAATGGAGCGAAACTGAAACCAGAAAAGAAAGGTAGATGGAAGAAAAAGAAACGTGCTTCGAATGCCTTGAACGCCGAATCAAGTCGGATTGGTCCGATCAGCTAGTGTTTTGCTATGGCATCTCGGATTCCCCTCTCCCCTTTGGCAACTCCGCTGTCGTTCAATTCTCTTGTAGTAATTCTGCTTCTCAATTCATCTTGTCCTATATTCCATCTAATCCGCACCATTGCTTCTCTAAATACCTGTAAGATCATCATTTTCATCCCTCTTTTTTTCCTTTTATGTCTTTGCTTAATTTCTTTCAACTCACTTTTCTGATTTTTCTATGACTGATGATATAAAACTTCAAAGCTGTTGAATTTTTTGCCTTTGCCTTTGCAGTGATCAACATATGATCCAAAATGGAGAAGAAACAGAGGTCAGTTCAGTAACTGGCAACACTAATTTATCACATTTTTTGTTGGGTGAATCTCAGTTTCTGCCTACCAGGATGGGATTTGAATGTTGTGCTTGTAACCATTCTGCTAAATTCTCTTGCGTAAGAACGATTCCTGCTTTGGCCCCACTTGCTCATGTTGGTAATTCTTCTTATTCTACTTTTCAAGAGGTTGCTTCTAGCTTCCTATCTGGGACTTTGGAAGATCACATATTGTCCTCTATTAATCTTCTTATTCAAGGAAAAGCTTCTGGGAGAGACAGTATAAACTATATGCGTCTACTTGGGATTCCTTCATTTGACGACACTAGTGTCCCAGGTTGCCTCAGGCATCCCAACATAGCACCTGTTCTTGGATTACTAAAATCTCCTGGCTATATCAATTTAGTGATTCCCAAAACTCCATATACATTGGAGAATATTCTTCATTACAGCTCAAATGCCTTGAAGTCAGACTGGCATGTGAGGTTTTTGATGTACCAGCTGCTGTCTGCCCTTACTTACTTACATGCATTAGGGGTTCATCATGGCAATATATGCCCATCCAATGTGATGCTCACTCATTCATGCTGGGCTTGGCTGCGCATTTGGGATAACCCTAGGTTAGGATGCAATTTAAGTTTCAAACATGGGAAATACAACGCTAACTCTACTCCTTCGAGGTTAGGTTGTTGCACAGAAGGCTGTTCTTCTCATGGATTATATGCTGATTTGAAGCTCTCCCCATCTTTAGATTGCCATTCTCAATTCAATAGATGGTGGAGGGGAGAGCTGAGTAATTTTGAGTATTTGCTTTTCTTAAACAAATTGGCTGGGAGAAGGTGGGGGGACCACACATTTCATCCAGTAATGCCATGGGTAATAGATTTTAGCACAAAACCGAGTGAGGACTCCGATTCAGGGTGGCGGGATTTAAGCAAGAGTAAATGGCGGTTGGCAAAAGGTGATGAACAGTTGGATTTCACATATTCAACTTCTGAAGTTCCACACCATGTCTCAGATGAGTGTCTATCAGAATTGGCTGTCTGCAGCTATAAAGCAAGGAGGTTGCCTTTAAGTGT